CTGCTGAACTATTGGTTGGTTATTGCAGAAACCCAAGGCTTGAATGAGGGAAAGGGCAGATGTAGTGATAAAGACATTCCGGGGGTTGAATTACCAGGACCTGGACTCCGACCTGTTGTGGAGGATGAGAACAAAGGGAGAGTCAAGAGTGTTGTCTCTAGGCTGAGAAATGGGTCTCAGGAGAAAAAAACAGGCTCCAAGTAAAGCTGAGTTTTCAGAACTGACATGATAGCCAGCTTCTCCCCGAGTCAACAGGGTGGATCCTTCCAAGGTCCAGCCACGCCTAGATGGGCAGAAAGAGAACTGACCCCAGGCCAGTAGACATCGGCCTTAGAACACGGGATTTTCTTGCCAAACACACTCTCAGCAGCCCCCTGCTTTGGGCTTCCAAAAGGAGGTCAGGTTTTGCCCTAAGTCAGGTTTGCCACATGTGAGATTCTCTGACCCAGATCATGGTGCAAACGGTTCCTGCCAGAGTGGACAAGCTGATGTCTGGACCCCCTTACCACTACAGCACTGGCCTTTTTAATTAATGCCATTAGGAAAAGCATGGACTTAAGATTTTAAGCCGGCCATGTTTCCTTGTATATTTCCATCGCCCCTGCCCCCGATCTCCAGCATGGCACCGTGCCCACCTTACCCTCGAAGTCTTCTGTCTGAATCGGCACGTTAATCTGAGACTGCCTGCCGGTGACAAGGAAAAAGAAATATTAATCTGGGCTTCCCTTGGGACCTGCCGACACTCCCTGTCTTCTGCCAGCCCTCTCCTGCATCCAAATGTTCCATTCGGCTCAAGAATTACAGGCCAAGAGCTGGGATGGAGGATAAAGGATCTGAGAGGCTGAGGGAGTGACCTTGCCCCCCCAGGGACTCAACACAGATGGTCCCCACACACCTGAATTTGGCCTTTGGGGACTAACGCTAGCCCGGCCTCTCCTCTTTCTTCCACACCCACCCCAACTTCGGTCCACCTGCCAGTCCCCGCCTGGTGGCACAGACACAGTGATGTGTCTCAGATGCAAAGACCCAGGTAAACTTTCACGCCAGGGAAGCAGGGGCTGTTTGGGGGCGTGGGTGGGGTCTGTTCTCTATTAATACTTGTCAGAGCCGCGTGCAAGGGAGGTGATCGGGAGTAAATACGCCTCGGTACGTTTCTGAGTTTGTCGTGTCCTAGAACGTCTGAACGGTCTGAGCAAGCGGGGCATGCGTGTCTGGTCCAGAGCAGAGCCCGTTCTTAAAGCAGGTGGCCCTGACAGGCAGGAACAGATCTGCCTGAAGATGCAGCTTTCCATAGTTTTCTAGAAAGTGACGCCAGGACATCAAAGTGCCCAGACTCGGCTCCTAGGAGACTCTGGTCCAGGGTCCGTCAACCTCAGCACTGTTGGCATTTGGGGCTGGGGAATTCTTTGTGGTGAGGGCTGTCCT